GAGTTCACACTCCTGAGATAGTAAAGTCTTCATAAGAGTCAGATATTAAGATTTTTGAGGAATTTCTAGGAAATTATCTTGAAAGGGGGAAATGACCTACTTCCTTTCCCTCCTAAAACATGTACAAATAGTTTAGCTCTTATTATGTCTTTGACTTTTCATTCACTTCTGGAAGGAGTCCAGTGATTCAAGGCAAAAAGTTGGGCCTAAAAATCCCAGCAAGGGAGAATTTGGTAAAATTCTCTGGGATGCATGTCCCACATAAATGGTTCCTATTTTCGAAATGCTCTGGTCTTCTTATTAGGATGAGGGGCTCAAGAAACAGAAAACAGCTTGACAGTTTATTATATCTTCGTTATTTGTTGGAATAGAACTTCTAATAAAAGCATAGGCATGGAATAAAATTCTTAATATTTGAGTTCACTGTTTTGATAGTTTAACAGTCATTTCTGTTCTTTATTATGTTCTTTATAAACTACATATGAAGATGTGTATATGTGAGAAGGAAATAGACGGAGGACTCAACTCTCCTTCACCCAGCAGTAAGTAATCAGCTGTCAATAGTTCTTTTTGGCTAAGGCTGGGGCTGCTACACATTTCCCCGGTTCTATACTTTTTGATAGATAACTTGCAACCTTGTCCGTATTTGTCTATAAGTCACAGAGAGAAATGACTTTTGAAACGTTGTTCATCGTAAGAAGCAGCTGTAATAACTGCAGCTCTAACTCTGCAGTTGGTAAGACGATTTCTGCAGTAGCTGTCTCCAGAGAGAGTAGGCAGCCTACAGACCTGCCATTAGTGAATGAAACTCAATCTAGGAGAATCTTTCTGAGCACAAGAAAAGGCAGGAGAAATCCTGCAAAAGTTGTAAAATAATGCCAATCAAAATTTCAACATTCGACTCTTTTTTTAAGATTTATTTCATTTTTTGTATATTTTCCTTGAATTTTTGAGTATTTCACACATATCTTCATCATCTTTATACCCCTTTCCCATCTGCACCCTCCCAACCCCCCCCACCTTACTGGATTTCACTCGTTCTGTCATTTATGTTAAGACCTATAGAGTCAAGTTGCGTCCTTCAATACAAGGTCATGCACTAGAATCTAGTCAGTCTATCTAGACTCATTCCCTTAAAGAACATCAGGTCTTCTTTACCCAGCAGTAATCAGCTTCCCAATTTCCACAGTTCTATGCTGGGTTTTTGTATGCTTGAATTTACATGGGTCTTCTGCATGCTGTCACCATTGCTGTGGGTTCATATGATCAAGGTCCCAGGAGCCTGTAAGACTGTATTCATATGGTCATTTACCTCCTTTCCTGACTCTTACAATGTTTCCACCCTATCTTCTGCAATGGACTCTGAGCCCTGGGTAGGTAAAATTTAATATAGGAGTCCTATTCAAGGACCCACACTCTGCAGAATCTTATTCTCTATGCTTTGGCCATTTGTGGCTTTTTGTGTTCATTGCCCTCTGTGCATGAGGGAACTTCACTGATGGGAGTTGGGAGGTGCATTAGTATTCTCTCTATCCCTTATTCCACTATGTTCTGTGAGCCTTGGGTGTAAAGGTTCCATCATAGATGTGTCACTTGGGGTTGGGCATCTCACAGACATTTACTCTCTGTGTGTGACCAGTTGTGTAACTCTGCACTAGTCTCCGTTGCAAAAGAAGCTTTTTTGATGGGTGGTGATTGGTTTACTTCTCTGTAAACACAAAGATCCATATTTAGCACATAGTAAGAAAGTACATTTGTCTAGGGCCCATCTATGGCATCTTTTAGCTATGTTTATAATATTACATGAGTCCCTTCCCACTGAGTAGACTTTAAGTTCAAGAAGACCCAAGATAAAAGTACCACTACCATACCAATAGAGAGAGCTTGCTGTGACGGTCATTGTTTGATTATTAGACTTTACAGTGGGGTTGAACATCGATTGATTTTTATCCCTTAGGAGCTTGCATAGTATTCTCTAGAACTCTGAGAGCTAATTTTCACTCAGAAGGTTTCCAGATCACTTCCAGCTCCATTGCTCCAAATGCTGTGTCTTAAGTATGTCCTATCTTCAGCAATAGGGTCTTACTTTCAAGTTCTGGGAGGCGATTAAGAGCTGTGGTAATAGACTGTGAAATTTTGGGAGTCTCTTAGACTATCTTGACCCAAAACTCAAAGGGAAATTTCACATCTCTGGTACTGTTTCTTGTTAAATACCCTTCAGCTACACACATGGACTCACGTGGAGATATTGTATGTGTAATTTTTCTGTAGGTTTTTGAACCAATATGTTTCCCCCTGGTTTTTCACAACAGCTAAGCAATATTTATTATACAAGCATTACCGAGGGTGAAATGGGGAAAATGGGGATACTTTAACTGGAGAGGGAGGAGGGAGGGTTAGACATGGAGAGGAGATATTTGACTTTTGATAGAAGAAAATGCAAACATAATCCTAGTCTTTAGTAGGATCTCTGGGTTTTTTTATGAACAGGGTTCCTGCAAAGGACTAGTATAATGTCCTGAAGTGTTGCTTCACACAGGCATGCTGGACCATCTTGAATGTGAAAGAGGTTCTTGGAAACAGGCAGGATTTGCACAGTGAGAAGACTAATTCAGGTTTAAATGTATTAAGATAAAGCCTCAAATCTACAGAGCAAGTAAAACATTAGTGCATTTTTTCACTTAAAACATTTGAGAGATCCCCTTTCTCAGAACTCAGCAATGTGAATTCTTTTCCCAGAACTAAATTGATAAGATCATAGTACTTTGTGGTTGTGGTAACAAATGACTGTCAAAATTATACTAAAGTTCTGTTATTTTATCAATATGATCCTATATGGATATGTAATATAATTCTTACCTAAGCCCCAAAGAGCTGTGGAAGAACCCAGTCTTTCCTGCATGGCCAAGATAAAAAATGTGCTTTTTTTGCATGTACCCATTGAGGGTTCTTAAAGATAAAATGGGGGAGCCGTCTATCCAACAGTGTAGGTGGTATTACTCAGACAGGGGGCAATGGAAATCTATGTCTATCTCCTTGGAGTAATAAAATATAGAATCTTTTTTTTGCCTGGTAACTTAACAGGGGAGAGACAGTTTTCTTCAAGGATGTAACCCCTTGTAGGTTGCCCATACTCCGGTGGATGGCCTTGCAATCAAGCATATAAGGCTGCACTAATTGGACTCAGTGTCTAAAAAATGACTACATGAAAATGGAAGGTGGAGCAGGTGGGAGGGCCTGGGAGGAGTTTGGTGAGGGAGGAGGGGTGGTGGATATAGTCAAAATGCATTGTTTACATGCATGAAATTCTCAGAAAATAAATAAAAATATATTTCAAAAATTGAAAAGCTATTGACATGAAACATTACTGTGGAATATTTGTTGCTGTTAATGAATGATAAGTAGGGTGAAAGATGATCCTAGACATTGTGGTATCTGAATAAAGAAGAGAAAGATGGCCACTAAAGAGGTGTGTCCCTGTTCTAAATTTAAGCAGGGGAGAGGGATCAGCAAGTAGAGTTGACAGAAAGTGAGAGGAATTTTAGATGGGTAGTGCCTAGATCCGTCACTGTGCTCAGATAATTTGTTGTCTTTCCACAGTCTTTTTACATCAAGAGAGAAAACTAGACTTCATGCATTCTTAGCCTATGAATGATGTATGCATTAGCTAAGGCAAAATCATGAATGGGAAACTAGAAGACATTGAAAACTAAATGAATGGACAATTATAGTTACTAGCAGAATGGCTTTCCTCCTTCCTGCTGCTTGGTATAAGTGCTGAGAAGCTTCTCTGCCTCCCCTGCACACACCTCCACCTTACCCCGACATTCCCAGATCACTGCAGGCAGAAATAGGCAGGTGTCACTGCTCAGGCTCTACTTTGATGCTTCTCCTAATGTTCTCCAAATCATTGGGTTCAAAACAGTTTTGTAGTACTTTTAATTTTTCCAGAATTTAGAATTCTGTTTCCATCTCTGGATGTCCAAAACCATATACAGCAGCTATTATACAGGACATGGCAGATTTTGATTTATTCAATTTTCAAGCATCACTTATTTGGCTAGGTGAAGAAATGAAAGTTTTTTAGAGAGAGAGAGAGAGAGAGAGAGAGAGAGAGAGAGAGAGAGAGAGTAAGCTATTCACTGGGAGAAAGATTTGCCACAGAAGTGTAAGGACCAGATTTCAGACCCTGAGAACCTGTACATCAGGCAAGCATGGCTGTCTGTCTCTAATTCAAGAACTTGGAAAATGGAGACTGGGTATCCCTGGAGCTAGCTGACAAGCCATATTAGCCACAACTATGAGCTCTGGGCATGTCTCAACTGAAGAAAAGAGTAATTGAAGAAGATTTTCTGAAGTCAAGTTTGGGTATTCACATGTATCTGAATACATATTTGTGTCCAAACTAACATAAATACACACACACATACACACACACACACACACACACACACACACCAAAGAAAGAAAGAAAAAGAAAACAGCAAATAAACAACGAGTTTTTATTTTCTTACCAGGAAGTTTGATCCAAATATGAAGGAAGATGTATGTAGAAGCAGGAAGGTCATTATTTTGAACTAATGGTTATTTTGCATATTCTGGAAACATGTATGGGGGAAAAGGGAGATCCTTCCGTGCCTTCTGCTTGAGCCACAGTGAGAAATACATTTCTACATGTGTCTTAATGTCTCATTTGTATAATGAGAAACTGGAGAAGTGGTCTCTAACAGAGCAACTAGCTGGGTGAGTAAAAACTTGCACAAAGAAAATTGTCAGAGAAGATGCTTCATGGGGCAGTTTTTGCTGCTGAGCTGAGAACAGCAGATATGTAGAGGGAGGACCCAGAGCCCAGGCTCCTGAGCCAGTGCCAGCCTGCCAAGGCCAGGTATGGCTGTCATCACTCAAGCCTCACCCTGCAGAGCCACACCCTGGCCTTGGCCAATCTGCTCTCACAGGGAAGGAGGGTAGGAGCCAAGGTTGGGCATAAAAGGAAGAGCAGGGCCAGATGCCTCTTACATTTGCTTCTGACACAGTTGTGTTGACTAACAACCTCAGGAACAGACACCATGGTGCACCTGACTGATGCCGAGAAGGCTGCCGTCAGCGGCCTGTGGAGCAAGGTGAACGTGGATGAAATTGGTGGTGAGGCCCTTGGCAGGTTGGTATCCAGACTGTAAAGCAACTGATAAGAAGGCAAATGGGAGCTGGGTGTCCGGAGACAAGTCTCTTGTTTCTAACAGGCTCTAACTTTCAATGTCCCCTGGCTGTTTTCATCTACTCAGGCTGCTGGTGGTCTACCCTTGGACCCAGAGGTTCTTTGACAGCTTTGGAGACCTGTCCTCTCCCTCTGCTGTGATGAGCAACCCCAAGGTGAAGGCTCATGGCAAGAAGGTGCTGAACTCCTTCAGTGAAGGCCTGAAGCATCTGGACAACCTCAAGGGCACCTTTTCCAGCCTGAGTGAGCTGCACTGTGACAAATTGCACGTGGATCCTGAGAACTTCAAGGTGAGTCCATTTGATCCCCTCATGTCCTTCTTGCTGTCTAGGCTGAACTTCATACCACAAGGACAAGGGACAAGATGCTAGAGACTTGTTTTGATGGAAGTTTCTGGCTGTTTTACTTTGAACTGCTGAGGAACATTTAGTGTCTTTTGTTCACGGCTGAGGACTGCTTCCTCACAGTCTTGTATTCTGTTATTTCCCCCTCTCTTTTTTCAGTAAACTTTAAAACTTTTTATTTGTTATTTAAAAATAATCTTTATTTCATTCAATATTTTCCCTCTTTTACATTCTCTATTAAGAAAAGGAATAAAAACACCTATCTTTGCACAGCGCTGCAGAATAATAGTGATAATTTACTTTCTGGGTTAAGATGATATGGAAGAAATTTTGTATATAAATTCTACATGTCATAGAAGAATTCTTATCAGAATCAGTCACTAATATCCAGCTATCATTTCTTACATTGTGGTATAACTATAACCACAGCTTGAAATGAGGCTGGAATGTCTTCTGTCCATGCTCCGCTACCCACATTAACTTCTCTTCTGTCTTCCTGTAGCTCCTGGGCAATGTGATCGTGGTTGTGCTGGCCCACCACCTGGGCAAGGATTTCACCCCGGCGGCACAGGCTGCTTTCCAGAAGGTGGTGGCTGGTGTGGCCACTGCCCTGGCTCACAAGTACCACTAAACTCCTTTTTCTGCAGTTCTCTTTGCACAAAGGTCATCTGTCCTCTACAGACCAACTCCTGAATGTGGGGTAAATTCTGAAGGCCTTTGGGCATCTGGCTTCTGCCTAATAAACTACATTTATTTTCACTGCAATGGTGTGCTTACATTATTTCTGTCTCAGAAGGGTTCATGGAAAGATATTTAAGGTATAAAGAAATGAAAGCTTAGTTCTGACCATGGGAATATAATCTGAAGCTTTGCACTTTTTATAGATGGTAGGCAACAAGGAGCTAATATGTGGAAACAGCCCCTGAAGCCAATTCCTTACATACAACTTAGAAAACAATTTAAATGAGGGCATCGGTACAGGTTAGCATTTGTCTATGATTTATGCTAAATTACTGTGCATGAAACCTGAACAAGTCAAATTACTAACATAAAAAGTGTAAGTTAACACAAAGTCCCACACCTATCTGAGGAGCTACTGACAATTGGTGTCTGTACCAGTGGCGGTGGGAGTCATCCGTCTTTAGGGATGTGAGACACGAAAGGCTACCCATGGTTTCATAGATGACTCTACACCCATACACATACTAAGTGGACTCAGTGGATTAAAAAAAAAAAAAACAGAGCACATGAACTTGGGAGAGAAAAGAGGACGGGTGATTGAGGAGGAATTGTAGGAGAGGGAATGGGACTAGATTTGACTAAAACCCAATAGAAGCCTGTATGAAATTCTCAAGCAGTATAAAAAGAGAAAAAAAGCACAGGAACAAAATTAAAAAAAAAATAAAAAAATATGAAACAGGAAAAAATCTTCACAGCAAAGTGAATAGTCAACAAAATAAAAAAGGAAGTGTATAAATTGGGGAAAATATTTGCAAGCCATCTATGCAAGAAGAACTTGTTATAAAAAGGATGCATGAAACCCATATAATACAATAGAAAACAGTATGAAATGGACAAAGAACTGAACAGACATTTTCCTAAAGAAGACACACACAATAGCCATCAAGTAAATGAAAAGAAACTGTTAAGAGGTATCACTTTATTCTTGTTACAATGACTATTATCAAAGAGGCAAAACACAACAGTTAGTACTTATGTGTATATTATATATGAACATACTAGCAATGAGCAGTTCTCAAATTTATGTCCTCACTAATGTAGTTCTGTAGATGAGAGGTTCCTTATTCAGTTCTGATGCTGTGTGCTGTCACTCATCCCAGGTAAGGTGAGCATTTCAGCTTCTGAACAGTTTTTATGGAGAGATCATCAACATGCTACACAACCTATTGAATTCTAGTCAACTGCACAAAGAGTGACCCAGAAAGTAGTTTCTTCAGTTCAGATCTGAGTGCTTTGAGTAGGAACCCCGAGTGAAGCAGCAACTTCAAATATAAAACCTCACTTCACAGCTGAGACTTCAACATAGACCAGGACGAGGATGACAGGGACCAGCTGAGTGCTGGAAAAACTGTATTCTTGCTAGAGATGAAGCTACATTTGTAAAATGTGGATGTCTAAGAAACCTCTACCTACTGCCATGAAATCCATGTCCACTTGTTCTGGAAGCAGTGTCCTCTGCTTTCAAATGGAAATACTTTCACAGTCTGTCTATTAATTGACCTGTTGGTGCTTGTAACCAGCCAAAGACATGGGATGAGCAAACTTTTATACAGTCAGTGGATTCACTGCCACTTTTGCTGGGCTTAATGAAGATCAGTAGTAGATATTGGTTGTTAAAGACTGGTACATATCATTTAATTCTTATAAAAATGTGTTATCTTTGGTGTTTGATATAAATTTTATCTTTCTTGTTCCTTAGGCTGCTTTAGTTAGAAACATACCTCCTAGCTTAAGACACTGAGCTTTTATTCAGCATACTGGAAATAGGCAACAGTCACTTGTCTTATGTCTTGTTAAAAATATAGAAAGTGCATCTACTGGAAAAACTCAGAGTAAAACAGACCAAGTCATGACTGTTAGTGTGCTGAGGCTGTGATTTTAGGAGCAAGTCTCTATTATGCATACACACACACACACACACACACACACACACACACACACACACGCACACACACATATACGTGATGAGGGTTGTTCACTAGCTCCCACACCTTGCTGAGGAGCTATTGACAGTTGAAGTTGGGGCTGGTATGGGAGGTGGAATTGGGGGGAGTGAGGGTGAATATGATGAATGATTTAATAAAATATTATATGTGAAAAGTTCTGGAGACTGGAAAAATGGCTCAGGGGTTAAGAACACAGGTGTTGCTCTTGCAGAACCCATCCTCAGTTATCACACAGGGCAACTCACAGCTACCTGTAACTCTAGTTCCAATGGATCCAACATCCTTTCCTGCCCCCCTTGGGTACCAGAGACACATGTAGTACACATACATGTGTACAGGCACCAACACACATAAAATTTAAATAAATAAATAAAAATTCTGTCAGTTGTACATCAAATAAATTATAAATATTTCCTCCCATTTTAAAAGTCAATTAGCAGTCTTCTTTGCTTTACAGAAACTTTGAAATTTGATGAGGCTCCATTTGTTAAGTATTGATCCTGGGGAACCAGAATCCTACTCAGGAAATTCCACATCTTGAAGTGGTCTTCCTAATTTTTCCTCTTTCAGTTTCAGAATTTCACATTTTTTATTAAGGTCTTGGATACATTTGAGGTTTATTTTTCTGTAGGATAAAAGATAAATATCTAGTTTAATTCTTCTACAGGTAGATTCCTTATTTTTCCAATGTGATTTGCTGAAGAGGGTTGCCTTTTTTCCAGTGACTGTTTTTGGAAATTTTTTTTTCTCAAAAATCAGGTGGTTGTAACTGCACTTGTTCATGCATGGATCATCAATTTTGTTTTGTTGATCTACATTTTTGTTTTTCTGTTACCATCATACTGTTTTTATATTTTGTCTAAACCTAGTTAAAATTGGTTTTCAAATGAGAAGTCTTAAGAGAAGAAATACAAATGGTCAATAAACATTTTAAAAAGTGTCCAAGGAATGGCACTGTTATCTGGGAGGCAATCAACAGCTATATAACTGGACTTAAAGCCCTCTCAATGGGAGGCAAGTCATGGGTGGCACTGTAAACTCAGCCAAATGCACATGGCATGAGAGGGCATAGATCCTAGAGAAAATCCTCTCTTTTTCTTTTTTCTCACTGTTTTTAATTGGGCTTTTTAAATTTCATACATTTCCCACTCAAATCCAGAACCCCTCCCCCATCCATGCCTCCTCCTAACCCTCACCCAACCCTATGCACTCTGCCATGCATGCTAAGTCCTATTCATTGAGGTATTTGTACCCAAATGTCCTTCAGTGCAAATGTGTCCACTGGAGTCTAGTCAGCCCATCCAGTGGTCATATGTAAGTTATACTTTTCCTCATCCAGCAGCAATTGATATCAAATAATTCTCTATCTGGTGTTGGCCCGCCACCTATTTCTTACCTCCCCTTTGGGCCCTTGTTTACTTGAGCTGACATGGGTCCCATGTTGGATGCCACCACTGCTGCAGGCTCACATGAGCAGGCCTCCATTGGCCTGGAAGCCCCCACCTCATATGTTCATGAATCAGCCCTGGCTGTTACAATCTCCTGCCTCCTCTTCCACAATGGTCCCTAAGCCATGGGTGGGTGAGTCCCATCCTACACTCTACGGTCTCTTATTCTCCAAAACTTGTCCAGTTGCGGCCTTCTGTGTGTATCGCACTCTGATGTTCATACAAGGAAGCCTCACTGATGAGAGTTGAGGGCTGCATTAGCCCTCTCTCTATACCATAGTCTTTATGCTCCACAAGCCTTAGTTGTAGAGCTTCAACTGTAGATGCATCACTTAGTCCTGGGCATCTCCCAAGCATATATTCTCTGTGCCTGACGAGGTGTGCAATTCTACAGTAGCCTCCATCTGTTGCAAAAAGAAGCTTCTTCGATGAGTGCTGTACAACATGCTTGTCCCTCTAAGGGAGGTCTCTTCTATCTGGCACTGCATTCCCTGCCAAGCATCTCCCAGGTATACATATGCATTAATGTTCAGACACTCTATGTGCATTTCTCATAGGGTTTCTAGGGCATCACTTTTCCCTGTATGTTCCCTAGCCCGCCCCAGAGATTCACTCATCTTCACTCTTTTTTCTCCTGTCTGGCTTCCCTCCTCCCTCTCTCCCTACTCATAGTGCCCCCGTTAGCCAAACCCTTCCCCCAATACCTCCCAAACCCCACAATTCTTCCTCTTCTGACTTCCTCTCTCTGCCACACCATGGTCCCTTGCATGTCCCTCCCTCCTCCCCTCTCTTCCCACTATTCCCACTTTTTCTACCTCCCTCAGGTAACATCTGTTCCCTACTAACCCCTTTCAGGTTGTTTCTTTTCCTTTACCTCCATGTATCCTTTGCCTTTACCTAGCTCCTGGTGTTACATCAGAATTTACATAGTCACATATAAGGGATTGGTGCTATAACCCCCAAATGAAGGAGAACATATGTCACTTGCTTTTCTGTGTTTGTGTTACTTCACTTAGTATAACACTCTTTAGTTTCATCCATTTACCTGCCAATTTCATAATTTCACCTTTTCTTACTGCTGAATAGAACTCCACCGAGTAGATGTATCACATCTTCATTAACCATTCATCAGTTGAGGGACGTTTAGGTTGTTTCCATTTCTTAGCTATTGTGAAGAAAGCAACAACAAACATGGATGTACAGGTATTTCTACAGTATGATGAGTTCTTTGGGTAGAAGCCAAGGAGTGGTATCACTGATCATATGGTAGGTTCATTTTCAGTTTTTTGAAGGTTCTCCACACTGCTTTCCATGGTGGTAGTACGAGTTTGCAATCCCACCAGCAGTGACTGAGTGTTCCTCTTCCCCACATCCTCTCCAGTATTTGCTGTCTTTTGTTCTCTTGATCTTTGCCAACTGGACTGGAGTAGGATGGAATTGTAAAGTGATTTTCATCTGCATTTCCCTAATTACTAAGGATGCTGAGCATGTTTTAAGGTGCTTGTTAGCCATGTTATTTCTTCTTTTGATAACTCTCTGTTTAGGTCTATCATCCATGTTTTTATTATTTATTTATTATTTATTTATTTATTTATATTTTCTTATTTCCTTTCTTTTTTATGAGTTCTTT